GTCACTGATCAAGGGATGGGTGTTTCATCATTGTATGACTGAGACTTAAACCCAAAAACTTTGTAACTGCTCTCACGGTAATTCAATAAATAAATTTAGATAAAAAAAAAAGGTAAGGTGGAGTTCATGTCCAATTCAATCAGCCTAATCAAAGGCTGAAGAAATAGCAATACTCCTACATAAAAAAAAGAAATCCTACAAAGACTAAAGTTGATTAAAGCAAAAATAATTATGGTTTATTAAAACAAAAATATCAAAATAGATACATATCCAACTACTACTGTACTTAAGCTAATGTAGAGTGATTGCAATGATTTAATAACAAATTTCAAACAGGGAATTGTGTATAATGAACCACCTTCTCAATAGGGAAATCAAAGGTATCCTGGATAATTAAAAGTTTTTAAAAATAGTGAAAGAAAGCACTTCTTTGGTTTGGGAATAACCTAGAGATTATATGAATGCTCCCAGGAGAATGTCTCAAAGGGATAAAGCATATAAATTCTCCAACTGCTGTGGAGATAGCGATCACATGGGAAAGACAAAGTTATTCCTTGCTTTTGGTGAGTAGAGGCACTACTTATCAGCATAGTTGATTAGTTACAACACTGCTGATTAGGTTTGAATAATTGATGCTCAGTGTGCATCTGTATCTCAGATATAATAGTACACAATTACTCAGTAATGTAGTGTTACAATATTATCATTTTTTCTTAAATCTTGCACCCACAGTGTTAAATTTCTGCTGTGAATAATGAGACACAATTATCTAATACAATACAGTTGACTAGGGTTTATCACAGTATAAATTCCCAAAAAAAGCAGATCTGCGTGTATTATGTTTATTTGATGGATCCTTTCAGGAACTAAAAATGAAGGAATAAAATATTTAATACCTGGAGGAGAAAATACTAACAAAGTAGTCAACAAAATATTCGGTCACGGTACTCCCGTTGTTCATCGATTTGCTTGAGCAGGCCCAGTAACGTCTCCATCATGAGACTTGTTGTTACTGTGTTTGGCATATCGAATACTTCACGGTTAGCTTGCCAGGCTCTGCCGTGCGGGTAAGATACTCTCAGTAGCTTGCCTGGCTCTCTGAGAGGGGCGGAGGAATTGAACTCGGGTCGGCCATGTTGGCTGCTTGTAAGGCAAACACCCTACCACTGTGCTATCGCTCCAGCCATTCAACCATTTGAGATCTCTTACAAATGTAGGTTATTCAAAGAAGTCTGTGAAAACTTGGGGTGATGAGAGATGGAGAAATGGATAGTGGATACAATTCTGTCTGCACCAAAAAGTTGAAGAAGGCAAAGTAATACTAAGTAAACAGTTGGCAATCTAGGATGCTCATAAAAACACAGTGATAAGATGGTCTTGTTCTTTCTATTTTTGTGTTAAAATTTTATTAGAAAAATAACAAAGCAAAAGGATTAAAAACACCATCTCTAGACTTACAAATCTCTTTCGTTGATTCTTTTTCATTCCTTTCTCCTCTCTCTCTCTCTCTCTCTCTCTCTCTCTCTCTCTCTCTCTCTCTCTCTCTCTCTCTCTCTCCCCCCCTCTCTCTCCTCTTGCAAGAGCCTGTTTAAGGGGTTGTTTTGGAGCCACACCCAGAAGTGCTCACAGCTCACTTGTGACTGCACTCAAATTTCATTTTTGACCTGACATAGGGGACCATATGCAGTACGGAGATCAAACTCTGGTTAGTTGCAAATACGGCAAAAGGCTTACCCATTGTACATCTACAGCCCTAAGCACACTACTTTTCAAGACTGTCTTGTTAAATTGTTTAAATCATTTATAGTTTCTAAACATTTAGCAAATTAGTATTAAAATCGTGAAATCCTCTACTAATTGGATAGGAATTAAGCAAAAATCAAAGATTTCTGTAACTCAGTTGTAAAATCCTGGAATACACTATTTCTACCAATTTAGTTAGAATCCCTAACGTGTTCCTCATGAATTTCCAGTTTTCTCTGTGTAAGAGTAGATTTGATATAATTTTATTATGTAATGCATAATAGTATAAGATTACCATTTTATTCTTCATTTTATATTTTTCGTCGTCTCAAGTAGCACTATTTATTCATGTGCTTCTCTGATTTCTAATTCATTAGGTTCTTATGATACATTATTTACAGAATTTCATGTTATACTATCCAGTAAGTTTAACATAGGATTAATCAAACCTGAACAGAGTATACTATGATTCTAATTTTTTTTAAATAATAAGATTTGTATGTTAATAATTTGCAGAAATTTATGTTAAATATGTGAAATTAAAAATTGTCTATAAGTTGTTTTATCATTTTTAATTTTTTTAACCTGGGTCTACTGCTTGCAAGTCAAGCACCCAATCTGCTGTACCATCACTCAGGCTCCTCATACTTGTTCTTTAAGTGCTGCCTACAATTCCCATTTTTGCTTTTAGCTACATTGTTTTATATTGAACAACTTTTTAATTATTTTTTATTTTTTATATAATTTTCTAAAATGAGTACCATTGTTTCAATTTTTATATTACAGAAAATATTGTGATAAATATGGATAATCTTGTTCAATGATTGATATCGTCTTCCCTAAAAAAATCTGAAAGAGAAAGGACATAGGAGAGCAGAGGTGGATGAAATGTGATCACTAATAAAACAGCTAATTCAATATATTATATTATTCTTAGTGGAAGCTAAAATCAAGTATATGAATAGTTTTTAGATCAGAAAATACTAAATAGACCATTTGAGCAATATCATGTCCAGTTTACATAATTTGCATAAAATGATTATTTGTACTAATCATGTAGATTTGAACAGGTAAGATATCAGCACCTAACTGTATCACATGCTGTTGTCATTTTTTATTGAGTAATATTGCTTTATCTTTTATTTAAATATCCGATGTTTTCAAGTTCCTATTATTGTCTGGCATCACCTGAATTACGAAGCAGCATTCCATAGTTCAAAGTGAAATCTGTTTCTTTTGAAAATTTTTATTTATAGTTCTTTGTTTGGTTAGTTTTGATGATAAATTGACAAATATGTTTACTAAAATTTAAACATCTTAAACTTTGATGAAAATATAGCTGCAACAGTATTAAAAATAATATTGCTAAACACAATATAGGGCGTCTTAACAACTATTCTATCTCACCCTGAATGTTATAGCTGCAGGACTTACTTGATATACACCTAACAAAATCAAAAATATAAATAAAGCACTCAAGTGCTACATATCAAATAAGTTTTTCAAGCAGGTTTTCAGAAAATGTTCTAAAGGAAATACAAAATTTATATATGCACATAGGAGTAACTATCTTAGGTAGCTTAATGTCTCAATCAAACTAAAGTTTAAAATACATTATTAAACAAATAAACTTACTAAATCTAAATTACAATACATACAACAGCATTGTGGAACAAAAATGCATTTTATTTATTTATTTTTTCTTTTTGGTCACACCAGACGATGCACAAGGGCTACTCCTGGTTCATGCACTCAGGAATCACTCCTGGCGGTGCTCAGGGGACCATATGAGATGCTGGGAATCGAACCCTGGTTGGCCACGTGCAAGGCAAATGCCCTACCGGCTGTGCTATCGCTCCAGTCCCCAAAAATGTATTTTAAAGACACAAGTGAGTACTGGCACAAAAATAACTTTTAACTATGTTGACATAATAAAAAAGAAGTCAAGGTCCATTAATAATTAGTGTTCTCTTTAGAAGTTGAGAATGAAATTGTAGGACCAAGATACAGAGGCATCTTACTTTATTATCTGTCCTAAATAAGATGTATTTTAATTATACACATATATACATTTTAAAGTGAAAATATTTTAAAGGTATTAGAATTGCAATGCCAACTCAAACTTTACCTATCATATACTGTTGATTAACCAATGAAGCTCTACTGATTTCTTGTACCAGAAGCTACTATGTGACATTCAAAAATATATATTTGTTAATCACTGTATCACCGTCATCCCGTTGATTGTCGAAATACTCGAGGGGGTGCCAGTAACGTCTCTATTCCTCCCAGCCCTGAGACTTTAGCAGCTTCTTCTTTCTCATCTTTCCAAATGATTGGAGGCTCTATCAGGGTCAGGGGAATGAGACCTGTTGTTGTTACTGTATTTGGCATATTGAATATGTCACGAGGAGCCTGACAAGCTCTGCCCATGTGGGATACTCTCAGTAGCTTGCCAGCCACTCTGAGAGGCATATATTTATATATTTCTCTCTATTATTTGTAGCCTACTGTCTGAATCCCATCAGATATGGTGCAATAACTGGAAAATGGGTAGGAAGTATCTTATAATGTGTCTGTCTGGAGTGGCCTGGAGCATGGCAGTGATTTGGTAGTAGAGGTTGACTGCCAGGGCTGGGTCTTCTAGGGCAGGGAGGGCTCTTAGCTGTCCCACAGCCTGGCACAAATTCTGGTGGCATGGTTCTGGAGGCCTCATTTTATACTCCTGTCTCGGGGGAGCATCTGTGAGTTCTGGAGGATGGCCGATTAGGAGATTATCTGGTGCCCACAGGGTGTGGCTTATAGGTGTGATCCCTGAGTCACTGGAGATTGGGGGAAGTAGGCAGAGGATCTCTGTTCCCAGGTCCTGTTGAGTCCAGAGTCCAAGGTCACAAAGCTCCGCATTATTTGGGTTCTGTGGTATTTCATTCATACATGAGGCTTGACCTGAGCATCTGGAAAGTGGCCTGGAGTATGGCAGTGGTTGGGTATTGGAAGTCAGCTGCCGGGGCTAGGTCCCCTGGGGTGAGAAGGGCTCTCACCCATCCCACAGCCTAGTGCAGAGTCCAGTTATTTGTTATTTGTTAATAACTTTTTAAATGAATAATGAAGATGTCTTGCTTTAATCATTGCACCTGACAAAAATAGGTTTATTTTTTTAATCGTCAACATGACTCCTTATATTGGTATATTGTCAGATGTTATCTTCTGAAATCTACTGACTTTTCTGATAGTTCTCCCTACAGTTATTTTCCATGATGGCCTCGATGGACAAACACAATCTCACAGGGCTAAAGGAATTCATCCTCCAGGGAATCACAGACCGCCCGGAGCTGCAAGCTCCCCTGTTTGTGTTCTTCCTCATCATCTACGTGATTTCACTGGTGGGAAACCTGGGCATGGTCATCCTCACCAACATAGACTCTAAGCTGCAAACCCCCATGTACTTCTTTCTCAGACACCTGGCATACATTGACCTTGGCCATTCAACAGCTGTGGGACCCAAGACCTTAGTCAATTTTATTGCTAATGAGAATAGAATCCAGTATCATTGGTGTGCCACACAGCTGGCTTTCTTTCTCTTCTTCATTATTAGTGAAATGTTCATTCTGTCGGCAATGGCCTATGACCGCTATGTGGCCATCTGCAACCCTCTGCTCTACAGAGTTGTCATGTCACAGAAAGTCCGTTGGGTGCTGGTGTTAATCCCCTATGCTTACAGTGCCTTTATCTCTCTGATAATCACCATAAAAATTTTTATTTCATCCTTCTGTGGCTACAATGTCATTAGTCACTTCTGTGACAGTCTTCCTTTGGTAATTTTGGTGTGCTCAGAAATGCATGACGTTGAAATGTTAATAATGGTCTTTTCAGCATGTAACTTGAGTTTGTCTCTTCTGATAGTCATTGTGTCCTACATACTTATCATTAAGGCCATCCTCAAAATGAAGTCTGCCAAGGGTAGGCACAAAGTCTTCTCTACCTGTGGATCTCACTTGACAGCGGTGGTCATATTATATGCGACTCTATTCTTTATGTACGTGCAGCCCAAATCTAGCCATTCCTTTGAAAAAGACAAAGTGGCCTCTGTGTTTTACACATTGATAATACCCATGCTGAATCCCCTGATCTACAGCTTGAGGAATAAAGAAGTAAAGGGTGCCCTGCAAAGAACATGGAATACTATGTGCAAGTTCCCAATATAAAGATCAAAGTAGCATGCAGAGATAATAATGGATTAAATCATAGAAAACTGTGTAATGTGTGATAATTCTTTAAGAAGCATTACTGAGTAAATGCATATATATATATATATATATATATATATATATATATATATATATATATCTGAGAGTGCCTGGAAAGCTACCGAGAGTATCTCGCCTGCACGAGCAGAGCCTGGCAGGTACCACCTATGGTGTACTCGATATGCTAAAAACAGTAACATAACATGTCTCATTCCCCTGACCCTGAAAGAGCCTCCAAATGTTGGGAAAGATGAATAAGGATATGGTGCTAAATTCTTAGGGCTGGGAGGAATAGAAACATTACTGGCGCCCACCTGAGTAAATAGATGAACAACTGGATGACAGTGAGCCCATGAATTTATCGATATTTTATTGGTGATCAACTCTGATTTTTTTTCTCAGGTTTCAGTGCTGAAACTTGGAGTTTGAATCTGAAAACTGAAGTCTGGATCATCATTCTCAGATTACTGAGTGCTAAATTAGAATTGAGTGGTACTGAAGCCAGAGGGATAGTACCGCAGATAGGGTGCATGCCCTGTCCGAGTACAATGCTAGTTCAATCCCTGGCAACACATATGGTCTCCCAAGTCCTCTATGAGTGATCACTGAGCACAGAACTAGGAGTAAGCCCTGCACATCCTTTGGATGTGGCCAAAAACAAATAAAAATTAAGACTGAGTGTTTAGTTTTTAAAACTAAATAAAACCTAAGAATGAATGTCATACTGAAGAAGTAAGCAATTGGAGGTAGTCTTTGCTTTTAAATCCCTAATTGCTAACTTTTAAATTAAAGTAATAATTTGGAAATAAACTTCAACACCAGTTTGTAGCAATTTATAACAAACTGACTTTGAAGATTAGAATAGAGGGTGGGAGAGGTTTAGTACAATGATTAGGACACTTGATATGCACAGGGTTGACCCTAGTTTAATTCCTAGCACTACATATGATCGCCTTATTCCTGTCGGCACAGAGCAAGGAATATGTGCTATGTATGACTTGATGTGGCCCAATCACAAACAAAAAAAGAAAAGAAGGGAAAAAGCAATAAATTATACCAGTAAAATTTCTACATATGAATAGAAGAGGAATATGTGAAACATAAAGTATCACTATCACTGTATCACTGTCATCCCGTTGATCATCGATTTGCTAGAGCATACACCATTAACGTCTCCATTCGTCCCAGCCCTGAGATTTTAGTAGCCTCTCCCTACTCATCCTTCCCAACACTGCAGTATTGGAATCTTTTTCAGGGTCAGGGTAATAAGACCCGCTATTGTTACTGTTTTGGGCATATTGAATATGTCACGGGAAGCTTTCCAGGCTCTGCTCTGCGGAGGGCATACTCTAGGTAACTTGCAGGGCTCTCCAAGAGGAACAGAGACTTTGAGGTGGCCTCTAATCTAGAGCATAAAAGATCGCATGACCACGCGCTCCAGAAAATACTGTGTGGGTCTCTTCTGGAAGTTTTGGTTTATAGTCTCTGGATCTTGGCCATTGATGAGATTACATGGTGCCAGGGGGCAGTTTGTGAGTGTGGCTGCCAAGCTATTGGAAAACTGGGGATCTGGGTGGAGGAGGCCCAGCACTGATGTGAGCAGGCTTGAAGATCTCCGCCACGGGTCTGGCATAGCTTGGTTCCTCCCACCTTCTGGGACTTTCAAATGTCTATGTTATGCCTATATGTGTTCTCAGGCTGCCCCATAATATTTTTGTCAAAACAGAGAGCAAAAATATTTTTGATGTTAATGGAATAGGTGATGCAGGCGAAAACATGAAGCCAGATTCTTGAGCGTGCTTTTAAATTTTAGGAAAGGCTTTAAAACAGAACCAGAGGGCCTGCTTGTTCAGCTGTGTGACAGAAACAATAAGACTTCAATACCTAATCTAAGAGTGACATGGACAGGAGCTTTGCATGTAGGTAATTCTTTGGTGTGATGTAATAAAACATTCAGGATCGTCAAAATAAAAAAAAATCCTTCAGTTTTTCCAAGATCAGAATGAGTAAATAAATGACACTTGAGGGCTGGAGCGATAGCACAGCGGGTAGGGCGTTCGCCTTACACACGGCCAACATGGCCGACCCGAGTTCAATTCCTCTGCCCCTCTCGGAGAGCCCGGCAAGCTACCGAGAGTATTTGATATGCCAGACACAGTAACAACAAAGTCTCCAATGGAGACGTTACTGGGCCCGCTCGAGCAAATCGACGATCAACGGGAGGGCCTTTACTTTACTTTACTTTACTTTCAATTTAAATTTAAAAGCTTACCAAATTACTGTTGGTTGGGGGGAGGTTGCTCTTATGGGATTTTGTGCAGAGAAGGCACACATTATGGTATCCTGGGAACTATGCCCTGCTGGGATTGAACTAGGATTGGCCACATGTGAATCAAGCATCATACTCACTGCAATATATTATGTTTAGCAAAGTAAGCTAGAAAGAGAAGCACAAATACCAGATGACCTCACTCATCTGTAGAATAGAGTGAAAGGGGGAAAAAGACTAGGAAATACAGAATAATGACAAATATATGGACTGTACCAAAGAGTGAAAGGAGGAAAGGAAGGAAAAAAGACTAGATTAGTGGTGGCAAAGTGATTTTGAATATTGATACCATAAACATTGTTTTAATTATGTTAATTCAAACAAATAATTTAATTGCCAAAAAACCCAAAATAGATTGCTAGTGGGACAAAAACTTATTAAAGCATGTCATTTTTTTTTTCACAAAAAGCCCTTTTGGTCTAAATGACTATGATATTGCATCTCAGTATTTGACGTACATGTCAAAAAATTTTATTGCTAAAGATGTTTAATTAACAGTATTTAATTTAATTACTATCAAGTATTTAATTAAATTAGAATATAATTAATTAGACAAAACATAATTATAATACTATAAATCTAATAATAACACATGATAATATATAACATGAATATATAAAATAATTATATAATTGATTAAACTTTCACTGTCACTGTCCTCCCATTGTTCATCAGTTTGCTCGAGTGGGCCCAGTAACATTGTGAAACTTGTTACTGTTTGGCATATTGAGTAAGCCATGGGTAGCTTGCCAGACTTTGCCGTATGGGCAAGATACTCTCAGTAGCTTGCCAGGCTCCTCGAGAGGGGCGGAGGAATCAAATTCAGGTCAGCCATGTTGGTGGCATGCAACGCAAACACCCTACCTGCTGTGCTATTGCTCCAGCCTAATTGATTAAACATAATGTAATATTTAATAACATAGAATTGATTAATCAAAATATTCTGGAATATTTTGTATCTATGGAATATCTCTGGAAACTTCATCATATGTTTTCCAGGCATCTGTATTTTCATGAACCCCACCTTTCACCCTAATTTCCAAGAGCCATTTTTTTATTAGTGAATTACTGTGAGGTACGGTTACATACTTATGAACTTTCATGTTTGAGTTTCAGTCATTTAATGATCGAGTACCCATCCCTCCACCAGTACCCATTCTCCACCACCAATGACCCCGGATTTCCTGCCACCCCATCCCACCCACCCCACCCCAGTCCACCTCTGTGGGAAGGCATTCCCTTTTGCTCTCTCTCACCTTTTTGGTCCAAGAGCCATTTCTACAATACACTTAGCCAGGGGGTAAAAATCATAATTTTTATGAAAATGCAAGAATTATTCTAAATATCTATATAGTTCACTGTAAAAATGGGTAGAAGAGGGAACAGTAAGGAGGGTTGCACTGTAATATCAGGTCTCCATATCGGAAAACCTTAACCACTTAACTATCAAACAATGTCTTCTTTTCCATTTCATATATTCTCCTAGAGAAAAATGATTATACTAACTATACTCACATATTTTTCTCTCTCTTTTATTTTCTTTCTTCATCTCAATTAAAGACTGTACAAGTTTTCCTTTTATAAAAACAGATTTTTATAGAGCTTCCATAGAATGTTCCACAGTTCTGTCCTATTGTAATGTGCTCCAACTTTGTCACATTATTTAAAGTCTTTCACTAATAAAAAGGTATTTTTATAAACAGGCATTATGGCTTGCAGCTATGTTGTTTCCCTTGTCTCACAAAATTAACATGAATTAAGGTTATACTAAGAACATTAACTTAAATGCATCCTAAGAAAAGGCACAAAGATGGAGCTGGAGATATAATACAGTGGGTAAGACTTTGCCACGAATAGGGCTGACCCAGGTTCAATCCCCAGCATCACATACAGTCTCCTGAGCACTGCCAAATGAAATTTCTAGTGTGGAATCAGGAATAACCCATGAGCATAACCAGATGTGAACCCCCCCCCCAAAAAAAACCAGAACAAACAAAAAAACAAAGAAAAAAACCTAAACACATAAAATGCAGAAAGTTATGGCCATCAGTCAACCTGCCTCTACCTCACAGGGCATAATAGGCTTATATGTTATTTCAAAAAATAGTTCTCAGCATTACCTAAACAATAAAACTAAATCTAAAGTAAGAGCTCTTTATGTATCTGTTACATTCTCTGAAATATTTTAGTTCTTTTCTCTTTTTAAATTATTCTTGAGAAAAAGGAAGAAATTTGTACCCACCACCTTTTCTTAAACCACCTTCTGCCATTTCTCTATCTTTCCCTATGACCAGCTCTATTTTGTTGCAGTGTCCACTGGTTTATTGCTTTTGTTTGTTTTAATCCTTTTAGTAACTTCATTTCCTTAGATTGAATTTACATGTAAAACCATCCAATGCTGTCTTTGTCCTTCTTGTGTTTCACACACTCCTCTCAAGTATTTTCCATTTTGCTGCAAATGGCAACATCCCTATTTATTGTAATAATTAAATAGTATTTGATCATAGTTATATAAAGCATCTACTTTACTTATTTAATAACTTCAAAACATCTGAGTAAGAATATTTTGTCATCAAATGAGTTTTGGATAACGTGTATGTACATTAAACTTATACATTCACTATAGGCT